GCAAAGAGCATGGTTCTTTCGCTCGGGGCCTTGTTTTGGGCCCCTGACTAAGTGAGGGCTATACCGCCGTATAGGAATCGTCCGAAATGAAAAGAACTAAATGACGAAACACGGTTTCCTGTTGAGGGGATACTCGTAGCCTAGCCACGGACTCGTTTCTTTTTGCTGCCGTGCCTGATGTTGCTGCGTCTCGCAATTCAGATGCACCACGTGCCTCAGCAAACCCTTGTCACCAATGTGAAGCATTCCCTAAACGCTGAGCTTTGCCAAGCCACCAACGATCCCCAAACCCCAAACCTCAATGTTACCCCAATATAATCCTGATATAACCCCCAATATTACCCCAAAGGGAGTCCCCTTTTAAGACTTGACCCTTGACAAACCCTGTGAACTGCAAGCATCTTACCTGCGGTTAGCTGCCGGCTGCGAGACTCTTAATGGGGTTATACTAGGGTTGTATTAGGGATATGTTGGGGTAATATTGGGGTTAGATGGGGGTATATTGGGGCTATATTTATATTGTACCATTTTTCTACCGCCCAGTTTGATCCCCGCATAAGGACAGTCATCTAGGAAACCCCAAGATCTTCGATCTAGCAAGTCCGGCGCGTGTTTCTTGAACCAAACAAGGGTTTTGTGTTATTTGGCATAAACATAGACTCGCTCTGCCAACATGCAGTCAAATCCATGCTTTTTGCACGGAAGCTCGAACAATAAGCTCACCAGTTGGGTAGCAGAAGAAGTAGGAGTAAATGGGAGTTTTGGAGCATGGCGAGGTGTAGGGATTTGGTTGGTTTTCAGGGATACTGGGAAGTTAAGAACTATTTGGATTTTTGGGATACTTGTTGGGGAGTCAACATTTTCGAGCAAACGACGTTTCAATTCTTTGTTTGGGCTAGTGGATACGCTGCTACCCGCCAAATCTTTGGGAATCTTGCAAGCATGTGAGGGCGCGGTTTCAACATAGTCCCTTCCCTAATTGAAACGAACCAAAACTATAAATTCGATGCTTAACCCCGAAGCTGAGACGCACCAAAATCATGACTCTGATCCTTGAACCCTATGCCCCGAACCCTGAGTCCCCTTTCTGGAGGAAGATGAGCCGGCTGGTGCACCGCCGATGATGGGTGTGATGACAAACGAGAAGCCCAGACAAGATGCGAAATGCCCAACCAGCAAGCAGAAGCTGAAGTGTGGTTAAAAGCTTTTTGTAGTTCTCAGTTCTTCCTTAGCATGCATTGTTGCTAGAATATTCCAAAAACAGTTTGTCGACCCATTCGAGGGAGACTTGACAGGAAAGCCAAAAAGACGGACTTGAAGGATGAGGTGACAGGGAAGAAATTGGTCCTTGAGCCGCAACTTTGGGGTTTAGGTTTTAAAGCTGAGGGTTCAGGGCTTAGGGTTTAGGGTTTGAGGGTTTCTGGCGATTTAATAGATTCCTACTCCTGGGCTTATAAAGAGTGCTTTTAGGACGAAGATGAGGATTCTCGAAAAAAAGGTGTTTATAGGCATTGTAGGACATGTCGTTGTTGGGGGCTTTTGGGGCTTTTGGATAGTATGCTTAGTTTGGCTCCCATAAGGCCCTGGAATACGGAAACCTAATCTTGGAAAATGCCAGGTGTTCGGGTGTAGAGTGGATTAACGTGTTTTAGCGCTTGGGATCATTTAGGATCCAGGGTGTGGGGTTAGGGTTTCGGGTGGTTTAAGGTTGTTTATGGGTTGAGGGCGTTGAGGTTTAGGATGTGGGTTGCATACGGTGTTCAATGTTTAGGAATTAGGGTTTGAGGTGGTTTGGACTGTCTGGGCTTTGGGTGAAGGACGGCTAACAACGCAACACGAGAAGCCAAAACCGCGTCAGGGTTGTGGCTTCGGGCTGTTGAGGTCCAGTTTGAAAATTGGCTCGGGACAATAGCACGTGCTTCATGCAAGCCTTGTTTCAGCTTGCTAACAACAAACTGCATGTCATGTGTTTCGCCATGATGCTGGCAAGATCAATGCAGAGCGACGATGGAGCACCATGAAGACCATGCACGGTAGATGGCAGAGGACTTCTTCACGCCATGGAGCAGGATGCAATAACTACAGTGATAATGCCAGTATCCGCCCGTTCCCGCCACAATGCCAAGATGCTCAACAACCTAAACGCATCCAGACCCGGTAAGAACCGACGAAACCACCACCCTCGTAAAATGATATCGGCATTGGCGGTCTAGCGATGTCATGGAAATCTTTCTAACAGATGGGGGCTGGAATCGCAGCGGGGCGGATGGGCAGCAGCCATAGTAACGTCCGCCATTGGGAGTGGGAGCCTACAAAAGGCAGTCATATTTACAACAGTTGTTAATTCTTGCCTGCGAGGAAGGTTTGCAACACAACCCCCTTCTGCTTAGCTCTTACACAGCCCACCCTAAGCATTCAGGGGAACATGGTTTTCTTGGGGGGGCCTAGTGACACGAGCAGTAGCAGTAAAATTGCAAGAACGTGTCAGCCATCGTCATCGCCGCCGTAGTCGTCCTTGCAGACCTGTTGTGGTCATGGTAAGCGCTGGTCGCGCATGAGCTTCAAGAGACATCTCCAGGAAACCGCTGGTCATGAGCTGGACTCCATGAGCGAGCGGACGTAGGGCGCATGGAGGATATCTTGAACTATTTACAATCCCCAAAGTTTTGCTGCAATTTGTTGTGTCTAAGGTGCATGGTTCCTTTGCAGGGTTTGGGGGACCACTGCGTCTGTTCCAGACAATCTGACACAACCCCCGGAGCTTCCTGTTGAATCGATCCAGTAGCCCTGGTCCTCCAGATGGTTTCGTTCTATGTGAACCTGTGTTGGTAGCTTGCCTAGACCTTAGTTTACGATTTCCTCAGAAACCTCGAGTAGTCCTCATCTCAACCCGAGGTCCATACTCTTCCGGGGCCGTAAACTTAAACCCTGAAATCCCAAACCCTGGACACCGCTGCCCTCTCTAGGTCACAAAGCATCGCCAGCGGCACAAAGCTTCACCAGGAAAGCATGAAGCTTCCTGGCTTCAAGGAGGTTTTGGGTTCAGGCTTTTGGAAAGGAATGCTGAACCATGAGGGGCACATACTCTGGAAGTGTGGAGATTTGCAAGAATGTACAAGGATTCTTTGCTTCCATATGAGCTACTGTCTAAACTCCTAGTATCCCCCTTAATAACCCCTTTAGCAGTCCCCTATATAACCCCCTATATAACCCCCCTTTAAGGAGTTTAGACTATAGCTCATATGAGTGGACTTTCATGCAAGCTTGTACACTTTCAGAATTTTACTTTGTGGCGAGGGGGGCAGTGGGACTGACTTTCTTGTGGCCGCCATGAGGGGTGAACACTGAGGAGGTTTTGGGTTCAGGCTCGGAGCTCAAAGCTGCCGTTTGAGGTCTCATCTTCAACTTGAACGCATCTGAGCAAGCACAGGTGATTAGCCGAGACCAGGGGGACACCAACAGCCCCAAACCCCAGACATATGTTCATTAATGTATATGATTCCGTGTTCGTCCATGAGTCGACCCAGCAACTACTGGTGTTTCTTTGGGCAACGCCTGGCTAGAACACGTTGTGCAGCCAAGAGCATCCCGGACGAAAAAGCTGTAGTCTAGAGTACAGGTGTAGGCGAGACTCATCAAGGTCTGCTTGTGCATGCTAGCGCTTTACGAACAGAAGCGGTCACGTGAAGGACTATTTCAGGCAAACTCAGTACGCCCGAGGCCCAGGCTCTGAACAGAGAGCCTGTACGGGCTTTTCCTTTCTTCAAGAGCAGGTTCATCAGGATCTTCAATTGGCGACTTTCGATGCCATCACTGAGTCGAAGGACTTTGGATTGAAGGCAGCAGAGGCGACAGCAGCGCGGCAATCATTATGAAACCAGCTGTCCTAGCAAGCGGTTAGCTGCAATAAGCACGGTAACTCCGTACTCGCAGTACTAGCCGGCGTGACTGCCTCGACTGGTTAATGAACAAAGAGCAGTATCGGGTGCATGAACACGCCAATACTTCTGATAACAGCAGCATGTCAGACCACTGAGCAAGAAAGGCTGTCTATTGCTTTCATGGCCCCCCAAAAGCCTTGTGTGAGACCATTAGATCATTTTATGTGGTCCGACACGCTCCGACAGCAGGTCCAAAAGCACACCCCCTAAGAAAGCAAATGCCAGCCTTTCAGAGCCGTTGACTTCTTGAAATAGGCGGTTGAAAAATTGAACCCTAAGCTGATGGATGGATCTCTTAGACATCATCAGGCTTGATATGTATCAAGCCCGAAAACTTGCCCGGATCCCGCTGCTGCCTCCTAGGCCGTTGTAGTATGAGAACTGCTGCCAATATCATCAGAACAACTAAACGGTTGCAAGCAGAAGGACTCCTTGCTACCCCAAATCAATCCTGTCTCCAGCGAGGGCTGCAGAATGACAGCCATGGTAACCATGGTATGCTGATTCCACCCCGCTCTGCCTAGATTGCCTCTGCTAGCATTCGCGTAGCAAGCCTGCCGAGATTCAATGCACTGCAAATGGCTCGCCCTCTCCTGCCCGCTCGCATGCACTGCGTGTACGGTGTGCACCTTCTTGCTTTTTCCCACCGGCATTTGTGCAAGCAAGGATGCATCCAAGATGCAGTCACTCCCCCAAGCCAATACAACACGATCGCAACAAGACCCTGAACAGCGTGAGAACCCCCTCAAAGCCTTGCGTCCCTAAACCCTAAACGGGTGAGGCCAGCGACCAATCCACAACGGAGCGGCAGAGTTGCACATCTCAGGCCTGGGTCAGTCATGAATGTACGGCCCGACTGAGCCCACTAGGCCGGCGGGTGCTTTGGAGGCCGCAGCAGCAGCAGCCGCCGCAGGAAGAGGAGGAGCAGAAGCAGCAGGAGCAGGAACAGAAGGAGGAACAACAAGAAGCATAGTACTGAAAGCATAGTGCTTGTAACACCGCAGGCGGAATCTAGCTTCTGAAAAGATAGTTCGGCATGAATGCTTTCTTCCGGTTCAGGAGAAGGCCTTGCAACCCGCAGGCCTAAGCGACAAGGAGCGGTGCAAGATCTTCTGTTCAGGTTTCAAAATTTATTAGGGTAAAGGCTTGCAGAGCTTTAGGGTTAAGGTCTCGGCGTTTCAGGGTTATGAGGTTGGGGTTGTCCAGGCGCAGCTTTCCACAAGCATGGCCGGCGGTTTCCAGTTTAGAGGTGCAAACATTCCAATTGTTGGACTTCACTGGAGCAGTGCTTTCAAAGTTCGGGCTAAGGAGTCCAGGCGTTTCAGAGGGTTTTCTTTCCCAGGATTTCTGTCCAGGTCAAAATTGCTGTGCAAAAGTGGCGGGAGCTTCAGAAGAGTTGGTTTGGGCTTCAGGATGTGGGATTCCGGGCGTTTTGTGAGTCTGGATCCATTGTGTAGCGGCCTTCAATGGGCAGGATGTGAGGTTCTTTCGAGGACATGGGAACAGAAAGATTCGAAATAACACTTAGACACTGTCTGAAAGGGATCTTTAGATATCTTTAGGGTGTTTAGGGTTCAGGATAGGCTTTTTGGCACAAGGCACAGT